TGCGGGCGACATCTAGTTTGATATAAAGATGAAATACAAGTTACTTGTAAAATAAAATTTTCGATATATGTCATTTTTAATTTGATCAAAAATTATAATTAAATATTTGGGTTTACACAAAAACGCTATTTACAATAGAACTTGCAATTGTAGTCACGTTTCTGACAGACTCCTGTCAAATCCCATGATAACAGTTTAAAGCGCACGCGCCGACACGTGTCGTTTAACATTTGACAGGTCGGTGACACTTGACAACTGTCAAGTTGGACGACAAAAGGTGTAGGCGGTCAAACTATTGTCAGACAAATTGACTCTTGCACGTGCAGGTCAAGCGGTGTTTAATTATATTTATTTTAATCACCATTTAATGCAATTATAGACAAAATAACGACTCCTACGTAGAATGTTATAAGTCACAGTTTTGCGAATTACACCTTTCTTTGTGTTTTAAAAGTACCATTAAAAATAATAACTGTAGATGCAAAATTTACGTTTTAGACTTACAACAGTTTACATAGGAGCCGTCGAAAAATGAAAAAATGTGAATATCTATTGATTGTTTTCAATATGTGTTAGTTACAATATGTTAAATCTATTTTTTTTAATAAAATAGTCAATATTATTACAAATATATGAAGATGCACGTTGTAGCAAAACATGAAATTAATTACAAAGCTACGTGTGTAATTGTACCACTTCGACTATCACCCATAATTGTAGAACATCGATCTAACAACTGAGGTAACATTCATTAAAACAATTAAGGCTTTCCATACACGTTATCTAACATTAAAACTGTTGTCACCCATATTGCTGTCTCACTCACGCCTATAACAGACAACTAATAACAGTGCTAGTACTCATGTTGCATTTAAAATTCACCGTAAAGGAGTAATTATAGCTAAGAAACTAAAAGTTCATTTTGATGACTCCGCACACCTTTGACTAAACTATCGCACAACTGTTTAGTCTTGCTTTGATTCCTATGAGCTTATATGGAGGTGCGCATACTCGAGTTTTAGTTGTATAAACAGTATGGGCAGCGAAACAATCGACAATCGCAGAACAGTTGTTGGATAGTTTAGTCAACGGTGTGCGCCCGCTCTTTCATTTTCATTATGACATTTTTACAAGAGGTTTGGTTGAATTTCCTATTTTTTTAAATAGTAGTAGATTTTGGTTAACTTATTAATATTTTTTTTAACCATTCCTACTAGGCTCTAGGCTTGTGCTAGGATATAGTTCATGATGTCGAATGGCGGGATTCGAACCCTCGACCGCAAGATCGATAGTCCGTACTCTAAACCATTAGGCTATTAGCACGGGTTATAGCCTATATGACTGAATATAAAAAAAATGTATTTTAGTAAGTTTCTTCGTGGATTTACTTTGATTTTTTTCTGTGTATTTAAAAAATAATTATAAGTGCCACCTTTCAGAGACAGGCACGCCCTGTATTTATTAGTGTTGATTTTGTTTGCAATGAAAACAATCGCGCCGCTGCATCCGACGCCATTCATTATTTATTTTCTCTCGTTTTGTCATAATAATGGTTAGTGGGGGAGTATGCTTACTTGACTACAGGGTGTTGCAAAATTTTACACCGAACATGACTTCGATCGTCTAATAATTCAATTACCGTTTTAGATACAGAATAATGTAAAATTTTGTTTAATGATAATTCGTTGTTGGAAAATGTTTTTGTCCGGATTTCTCAAATTACTTAGATTTTTTAATATCTGCAATTTTTTGTATTAAATGAATTAATTATCACTGCAAGACCTTATATGTATTAGACATAAATATATAAAAAATGGTTGTTAATGTGATCGATACTATTTACAATATTTCATAGTTTTTGGGAACATCCTGTAAGTTTTCACCTATCGTTCACAAGGGTTCGCGATTGTTTGTGTTATTTCAGCGTATTTTGCCGCACAAAAGACAGGCCAGTTGTTTACTTTATGCCAAATCACTACCCCAGCCCACTCTCGCCGTCGCGGTGATATCTATCAAGTGCGCATATTTTATTAAAAAACATAGGGGAGCATTCAAGCGTTAAAAATGGACAAGTATTATATGTAGACCGATATGTCATTGTCAGACGAAAATGTAATTTATTACATTGGAAAAGAGGTTATTGTCGTGATTAATAGCTTTGTGTTTTCTTGGTTATTTTGTTAAAGGGTATTTTTATTATTTTAAGCGATTTAAAAAGCGGAATGAACATTTATAATGTCATTAAAAATTCATTGTGTTGATGATATGTTTATTTAGCGAAATATATTTGCTTATTTTAAAGTATTATTTTATATCATGTTGTGTTAGCCAAAACTAAGCTAAACTAAATAAATATAATTAAATTGGTTTGAAATTGTTGTTTTGGAAATTCGTTGAACAATAACAAGGAACTACGCATAGATATTACGGAGTATGTCTACGTCTATGTTTGATATTAAAAAAAAATCTACTAAAGGAGTTTTATTACTTTAGTAGTTTATTAAGCACCAGTTATAGGCATTATCATAATGATCTAAGCTAAGTCTGGGGAGAAATTAATATGGTCTCGTACCAAGTAGTACCCATTTTAGATTTTTCGGTTCTCTACAAAGGGAAAGGGAAGTTGCCCCCCATAGCTCAAATTTTTAAATGTCAGTAAATTTTGCTTCTATACGTCATATAATTCATTATGTTAGTGGAAAAAAATAAAGATAACTGACCTCAATTTCATATGGGATACATAGGAAGAGAGAAAGATAGAGCATGAGGCTGTATTACCGTATGCATGTACTGTCAAATACTGAAACGAATCTTAAATAGGTACTTCGATTAGTAAGCGCCGCGCCTTACAATCTAGTTGTCAAAATTTGAAAGGGAATTGGAGTTTTAGAGCGGGCGCACCTTTTGACCAAACTATCGCACAACCGTTGTGCGATTGTCAATTGTTTCGTAACCAATTCAACTGTTTAGTTGCACAACTAAAATCGAGTCTAAACAGTTGTGTGACAGATTAGTTTTAGGTGTGCGTACACTCTTAGCGTAACCTTACCATTTAAGGCGCTGTTCTATCTTATCTTACTTATAATATTATAAATGCGAAAGTTTAGATGGATGGATGTTTGTTAGCGTTTGTAGTCTAAACGGCTTAACGGATCTCCATGAAATTTGGCACAGGTTTAGAGCATAGTCTTGAAGAACACATAGACTACTTTTTATCCCTGGAATAGTTACGGTTCACGCGGGATTCATTAATTTAGTTTTTTAATGTTTACTCGATCATTCTGCAAAGGTTCATCATATCTTATTGAAATTTGGCACAGATATAAAACAAAGTCTGGAGTACACATGGGATAAGCTTCATCCCCAAGAAATGTCCAGTTTCCGAGGGATACGTAGCTTTTTGTAATTTTTATAGTTTGTATAGTTTCTAATACCACGCGTACGAAGTCGCGGGCAACATCATCATCATTGTCAGCCATAGGTCGTCCACTGCTGAACGTAGGCCTCCCCCATTGATTGCCACAATGCCCGGTCCTGTGCCGCCCGCATCCAGTGCACTCCCGCAACCTTGACCAGGATGAAAATGATTGAAATGAAAAGCGGGCAACAGCTCGTATTTAAATAAAGTTTCAGTATTCGGTCGAAGGGAAAAAACGAAAACAACAAAGTGGAATTTTCAACGCTTTTATTTATAATGTAATATTTTTTAATAATTAAATTGTCTCATCGTACAATCGACGTCCATTTTACAATTGTTACAATTAAATTCTCTATATTTATTTCTCTTATAATTTACACAGAACACTTACGATTAAAAACTTCACTGGGTAACAGAAACAAAAAAACATTTCCATTTTATGTACACAGAAAAATAATTCCTAATTTCGGAATTGTATTTAATAAAATATTAAATTAATTTGAGCACATTATTATACATTTGTTTATTTTAATGAAATAATTTAATAATTAACAAGACTGGAAATATCGATTATTTGCCATTGATACGGAAAATAAAATGTTTTTGAGAATTATTTTATTTATTTTATTTTATGATTTGCACATTTATTACGCAATAAATGGAATACTTTATTAATTAGATGAAAAGGTAAATATCACGAATACAAATAAAAAATACTTTAGTATTTTTATCATACGATTTCACGAAATAAGATTTTTATTTATAGATTGTTATGGCAACACATAAATGCAATACGTCACCGACGAAGACGGCCTATATTCATACATTTCTAAGAGCCTGTCCCACCACTGGCTGATAGATGCTCGGTTTAAAAATGACGTCACAGTCAGATAAGGTAACAAAATCCGATATTTCTATCACATATTTTAAACGTTCGATTGTTATCAGACAATTAACAATTTGGTGGGACAGGCCCAAGTATACTAAACAGAATAATGTCATTTCTATATACAAGATTGTATATTTAAGGCCCACGTTAAAACCATAATTTTTAACGTATTTACCTAAGAGAAGAATTATTGAAATTTCCTTAAAATTATATTTACAGCATTATTTATTATGTCGTTGTATTTAAACTTGGATAGTCTAAAATTATTCCTTACTAAAATTATCCATATATCCAATTATCCAATTATATCAATTTTATATTATTTACATAAAAATATATTTGCATTGAAATAAATCAATCAACAGTGCTGATAAATGGAAATAAATTATTTTAAAAATCGTAAAATTTTAAATTTACTCTATTTTAATTTGCATTAAAATAATTAAAATAAAAATGGATGCTAGAAACATTTTTTAATTTTATATTCAATCAATTTCTGATTGATTTATGAAAAATTCGTTTTTTACAGAAATATCCTGTTTAATTAAGTAGTCTTACGATAAAATAAACGCTTTTTAATAATATTTACAAAATACAGCGTTTAATAAAATAATAACATAACATTTAAAGGGGGAAAGAGGAACTATTAAATTCAAAAATAAAATAAAATACAAAAAACTAGCTCCGATAAATAACGATTAATATTGTAGAAAACTCTAGAACTAGGATATCGGAACAAAATATCGATTTCAAACAATCGGTAATAAAGTTAGTAATTCTCAACAATCATTTTTATAATTACATTTCAGGTCAAAATATAACAGTCAACGGCCTCCGGAATTCCGACCCGGCTTGGGTCGCTTGCGCGTATTGCCCGGGGTACTGGGGTAGCAGAAGACTGGACGTGCTTTGATAATACGGCAAGGAAGGGGAAGGATTCGAGCCCGAGGATGAACTACCTTCGGCTCTCTCTTGTAACTTCGGAGTCATATCAGGAGACTCCGCTGGCGATCGAGGCGATAAACTAGAGGAAGAGTTAACCGCGGAGCTCAACCCTGCCATAGCGGCCGCGGATGCTTCGGAGTACATCTTGCTGATGTCCATCGGATATGAGCGTTGTTGCTGCTGGTCCATATACATGTAAGCTTTTGATAGCGCTGCGGAATCCAAGTAGCTTCGGGAAGGATCGGTGTACATACCGTAACGGTATTTGTCCTCGATCGAATATTTGGACATGTCCATAGTTGATCCCATCTGGAACAATGAAAGAGGAATTAGATACATCTGTTTTTTTGTGAACTAAATCATACTCATACTAATGTTATAAATGCGAAAGTTTAGATGAATGTTTGTTAGAGTTTGTAGCCTAAACGGCTGAACGGATTTCGATGAAATTTAGTATAGATGTAGAGGATAGTCAGGCAGAACACATAGGCTACTCGCTTTTGATTTTTTTAATTTCAAGCGGTCGTAGTCGCGGGCGATAGCTAGTCTAGTTCTAAATTATCCAGTGGTATTGAAAACAGTGACGCTCTAGGCCCTGCAGTAAGTAAGAGATGTAGATTCAGAATCTAGATTAATAGATTTATAATCTTTTTAAATCGCAGAAAAGTAATGACCTCAACAATGAGGTAGTTAACATTTTTGGCATTACAATAATTATCTTGTAATTATTAAATAGCCACGTTGACCCGCAAGTCAAAATATTGTCAATTTGACTGGATTAATTTCATAAGCGGATTACCTTTTGTAATCTATCTCGTCTACAAATAACGTAATTCATTGAAAATTGAATAAATTCAGCTCTCGATTGCATGATAAAAAAACGACTTAATCCCATTGTGTCACGGCTTAAAATCGAATAAAGCGGAGAGTATATAATAACGTAATGTGGTATTGTACTTTACACGCCCAGACACACAAATCAAACGTAACAAAGCCTTCGAATAATGCTCCGAGTTTTAAATTTTTTAATGAAGTGAGCCGTACACAATATTGCGAGGAAAAAACGACTCGTCGAATGTCACATACCGCGCGGTAAATTCGATAGCATAGTATTTTTGTATTGGTTTTGATGTAAAGTTGGAATGTAAATGTTTAGAGAAGAAACAGTTATATTTGATGTAAAAAACACGCAGTAGCTAATCTAGAATATTCTTATGTAGAAAATACAATGTAATTTATCTGTTTGAATTTCAAAGTAAATGAAATGTTCAAATTATGTTTTAAAAACTTGTGTTACTGTATACTTGTGTTTTAGAATTACATAAATGTTCAATTACTTTTATAACATCAAGAATGATATTTTATACGTTTACAATTTGACTCACGGTATAGAAAACCTGTTGCGCATTCAACATAGAATATTATTGAATGTTAATAGAATAGGTTCGCCATCCTTGTTGTCCGTGTGTACATGGTTAGCGCATAACATACGGCCGGCGGAGGCTCGCGCGCTAAATCAGGATTAGTGCGACGTCGCGACATCAACTGTAGGTTTTACTGCGGCCCTTACACTAGTTTATTGCACCTCGAGTTATAAATGCGGGGAATGTTTCATGTTCTTTTTGACCGTGTGTATTATATAGGCGGCATTTGAATTATGCGCTACCCATTCTATCTTTTTTAATTTTATTTAATTTCTTTTATATTTCATATATATTTTTAATTCGATACATTTAACGATTGAATGACAATTAAATGGAATAAGCCATAACAATATACAATGTCTGTCTGATTTTCAGAAAAGTACAGAAAATAGTAAATAAAATATATCTCTTGTGAACACCAATATAACGACTTATGTCATAGGAGATAATTAGCGTGAAGTCTTTTTGAAAATGTCATGCAATTATTTCAAAAGTAAACTAGAAAATGCCTCAATTCGATGGTAGATAGTACAAGTGTTACGAAAGACTTCCTCCATCCGAAATTTGATCTACATAAAAACACTGTCTTTTTAAAGTGGTTACCGTCCAATAGAGTGACCTCAATCAGTGGCCAAATGAACCGTGAAAGACCAATAAACACCTCGCCATATAAGTCATCGATCAAAATAATCGAATACGGGAAATCACAATGGTTCGTTAAAAATAGTAGCTACCTGCATGGAAAACGCACAGTCACCGTTTTTAATATCAGGTAAACGCGGCGCGATCAATTGCAGCTGATTATATTGTTTCGCATCGAGTTTAGGGGGCGATTCGATGCGTTAATCGAAAAAAGTGCGATTTCATCGGATAGTGTCGGCGCTATTGTGCGGCTGATGTATCGGTGGAAGTCCCCTTTAGGACCGGTGTTGTGGAAATACGTCGGACATAGAACTATTACACTTGATTTCAGGATACATTACTTTTATTCTCTAAGTAAGATTTAAAAAATATACTAGTTATATCTGCATTTCAAAAAATCGGGCTTTAGAGCGGGCGCACACTTTTGACTAAACTCACAACAGTGTGCGATTGTCGATTGTTTCGCAGACAATTCAACTGTTTAGTTGCACAACTAAAAATCGAGTAGTGTGCGCACCTCCATATAAGCTGCTAGGAATCAAAGCAGGACTAAACAGTTGTGCGATAGATTAGTTTTAGATGTGCTTACGCTCTTGATTTAAACTAATTAACACATTTAATATCTATCTAAATGAACAAAATATGGCAAAGCAGGTATTATTTTAGGTTTCAACTAGATTGCCTAATATTTAAATACTAGCTTTCGCCCCAGACTCCGTCTCCGCGGATAAAAAAAATAAAAGTGAGTAGCCTATGTGTTCTAGACTATCCTCTACATCTATGCCAAATTTCATCGAAATCCGTTCAGCCTTATAGGCTACAAACTCTAACAAACATCCATCTATCCATCTAAACTTTCGCATTTATAATATTACGAACTTTCACCCGCGACTCCGTCCGCGTGGAATTAAGTAAAAACAACAGTGAGTAGCCTATGTTTTCTTCCAGACTATCCTCTACATCTATACCAAATTTTATCGAAATCCGTTCAGTCGTTTAGGCTACAAACTCTAACAAACATCCATCCATCCATCTAAACTTTCGCATTTATAATATTAGTTAATAGTATGATTTCCTTCACAATAAAAGTATCGTAAAACAAAATATATATTAAAGATTATAGATCATCATTAAATTATATTAAAAGTTAATAATAGGCCACATAACAGCAACAAATCGATTAAACACTACTTGACACACAAACTCGCACAATTAAGTGTCATCCCTCCGGAGTTCCGATTTAAAAACTCCTCGATCTTCCCTTGCCCTCGCCCTCTATTTGACGTTCAATCTCGTGCCGTTGACGTAGATGTGTTATACAGGGTGTTTGCGCGATTTGGGGTTGCACCCGCTTTACGAGATTAACCGGATTTGTAAATCGGCAAATTATTTTTCGAGCACTTTTATTTGACTTAAGTGTAAGTCAATAAGACGCTAAGCTTTGATGAATTACTGGTTATATTAGACTTGTTTATTGTTTAATAGATTAATGATTTGTGAAGCAGTTAATTAAAATGAATACTGGCATGATGCGGCATTAATAGTGAAGATAGAATTTAAAAAAAAACATGCGTTATCTTAACAAATACTGTAACTAAATGTTAAATTCAAAATTTTCAAATATATAATCCAAACCGAAACGCCATTACAATAAATGTCTTGGTTAAGAAAGGTGTAGGGTAACCATATGTTATTTATAATTGTGTAGACAATAAAAATTATGTGCAGTTCATTATGTTATTTTGTTAAAGGTCAAAATTGTATCAAAATAACTAATTAATTACGATTAAAATGAAGCTTGCAAAAAGTCTAAAAATTATTGTAAAAAGACGCCGCTTTTAATTAATTCATTTCAAGCCAAAAAGATACTTCAAACCAAAACATTTTGACAATAAATTATTTCATTGCTGTACCTCAATTAAATTTAAACTTTACTGACATGCTTTGAAATAAATAACGTGGATATGTTAGGTATTTGATTGCGCCTTAGCCACCTAAAGAGTGGTGGTGGGTTAAAAACCATGTACACTGTCTACCCCTCAGAAGACAGGATCTTTGGAAGATTTTCCCACAGTCAACTAATAAAGCATTTGAAAATAAATGCAAAATAATAGTTGACAACTGGAGTATATCTCTTAAAAAATGAAATTCATGGTCGCAGGCGTAACAAATGTAATCTCCGAGCATCCAACCCTACATTGTTTAGGGCGGTGGGTAGTCACCAAATAATTAGTGATCGCGAGGGGCAATGATCATGTTAGACACCCTTGTTGATCTCAACACCATCTGTTCTGTTAAAATGGTTTATTACAAAACTTTTTAAACTATCTCAAAGATTAAAACTGGATCGTCTTTTGTCTGCTATAAAAATTGAACTAAAACCATATGGCCATCAGAGAACCTTGACTAAATGTGTAAAATTGGCGCAAATTACCACTCCTTAAATATTATTATCTCATCTACTGTTAATGAAAAGAGTAAACTCATTGCCATTTTATTACGCGCTTGTTAATTTTTTAACGCCCACAGCGCTAAGCGTTTCGACGTGTCGGATCATTGTGTTCTCAACGGTTGATAAAGGACATTAAAATGGTCGGCGAACTTTGTAGATTATACGAGGCGCTAACTATTCCACGGATCAAATATCGTCCCGAGTAAATTAATTCACAGCTCCACTAATGAAAGCTTCGGCTTCTTTTGGTAATTTTTTTTAGTAGTTTTTGCTTCTGATTTGATAATGTTCGCAATCGGTAGGAGTGTAGTTTTTTTTTTTATAACATAAGGTGGCAAACGAGCAAGCGGCCACTTGAATCCGCCAAAATGGCGAAGCGACCGCTGCCCATAGACATCCGCAATTGCAGATGCGTTGCCTACCCTTATACGACGAAGGAGGAGACGCACATAAAGAGGATATTTTCCCTTCCTATGCCTCTCCTCCACCGTCAAATCCACTTCCCCGATAGATCTTGCAGCCTAAACGTGCTTGATAGTTTGAGTATGAAACCTGAGTATGAAACGTACAGGTTTTAGTCTCGGCTCCTGTATGTACTATTTTAATGAAAGAATTGAACAAATTTGCAGTCGTTTACTTTTAAGTGATCTGATGCGCATACATCCACAACACTCGAGAAACTTCAGCATATTCTACTTTTAAATATAACCTTACTCCCGGATATACAGACTTTTACAAGCGTTTATTGTCCTCTTTAAAGTATGCTAGTATATATTCTGTAGTTACCTGTGCGTTGGGCGTTAGAGCCGCAGATATGGCGCTCTGCTGAGCCGCAGCGGCAGCAGCCGCCATGCTGGCTCCGAGCGGACCGTACGCCGCGCCGTAATAACTGCCCATCTGGCCCATGCCGCCGCCAGCCATTCCTGTAACAACAGAAAAATAAACATTTACATTACTCTGTCATTAAGAGCGGAGACTTTTGACTAAACTATCGCACTGTTGTGTGATTGTCGATTGTTTCGCAGCCCATTCAACTGTTTAGTTGCACAAATAAACTCGAGTAGTAAGCGCACTTCCATATAAGCTTAGGAATCAAAGCGAGACAAAACATTGGTAAGTGTTCTTAACTGCAGAAATACTAAAGTCCAGTTCATTCATCTACTATTCTCATTAATACGTCCTCATAAAAATCTTTAACGCAGACAAATACTGTGACATTAGCTATGTATAGAATAAAAATATTGATAGCTTATTCAGTTATTAATATTAATAATTCGACAGTGTAAATATTTATGAAATGAAGTCAGAATCAGTAATATTGTAACTATTTAGATTAGAGAAGGCCGATCTATGGAATGCCCAGTTCACACCTCCGTTAAAGTGGGCGGCGTAATGGAGAGAAACTGCATTGACTACGGTCTTAGACTTATAACATGGTGGACGTCGATTAGCGATTTGAGAATAATAACCAATGAAAATTTTGAACACATAAATTCTCAAATAGAATTTGTAATTATAATTAAGTAAGTTTGGATGTTATAAACAATTCGTCAAATATTACATTAATGAGTTGGCACTAATTCTATCAAATACCACCAGCAATCACTTCACATGTTATGTTAAATGACTTGAAGTATGCTTTCCGCTCCTCTCTACACCATAACCATACCTTAACAGCGCTTCGGGTACTCGTATTCGAGCAGCAATTAATTATTCGATTGTGCGCAGCAACCCGCTGACCCTAGAGAGCTATTAACTGACCGACAGTTCCTTAGAGGTGTTTATTAAATACGCCTTAGTTGGATGCTAGTTGCCTTGGTGTAATGAATGGGTTGCCATCGTTGCGGGCTTTACTTTGTTAGTCTAATTGATATATATCAATAAAAGTTAAAAAGTTAGTCTAATTGATATATATAATAAACAATATTGTTTAAGCTCTTTTCTTTATTGTGTAAGAAAATATTGCTGAGCAAACAGTAAAAATAAATTGTGCAATATTATTGACAATACAAATCAATTGAATGTGAGACTAATGTATTAACAAACTGCTGCAGTCTGTCAATCTTTAGCAAGTTAAAGGTTTCTTTATATTTTAAATGGTATTACATCGTTATCCTTAAAATTTCCGATGATAACTGTCTGGTTATCTGCCATAAAACCCATTAATGCCGAATTACATGTCATAGCAATCAACGCTTCAGATGCCATCATACGTAATTGAGCACTCCACCTCGTCTTGACGCGCAAGATCCGAATTTAAATAAAAATAAAATAGACACCCTCATTGTGGTGACGTCAATCGAATCTACAATATATTGAAAGCGAGGACAACACTGAATTTGCCGGCGATCTAATACAATGCGGACTCTATTGCCGTGGTGTTTAGGATGAAAATCGTTAGACGAACTGACGAGGGAGATCGCTAGTCCTCCGAAAGGGACCGTTGGAGATTTTTTTTTTATTATATTTATAATTAAATTGGTTGTCATCTCACGCGCGGGCTGATGTCTCCGCCTGGTATTGGCGTGAATAACGATGAATTTTCTCCTCGAAGTTTTTTTTTTCGAGAGTTTAATAATTTAACTCGAACGAATATTGAGTTTATTTTTTAATAAATAATTTAGGTGACAGAATGACAGGACGGGGACAGATAATAAAACGATTCTGATTCTCTGTTCACTGAGTGGCTACTTAAATTAATTTAATGACGGTGTAATGATTGCTTATGATGGAGTACCTACATTTGATGTCCGCATCTATATAACAGAATAAATTGAGTTGGTGTTTCAGCCGTAACGGTTAAAAACAGATTTTCAATTTATTCAATATACTCTAGATGATTTGAAGCCAGAATTTTTTTATAAAAATCATGTTCACTTTTTCTTATCATTTACTCCAAAATATGTATGGTCAGCAAAAAAATTCAAAACACTTTAGTGGCTACTAAAAAAACAACCCTAAAAGATATTCATAATGTAACCTGTCAAAAAGGGACTATACATTCATATCTCATTTCTTAAACTTGAATAGGAAAGTATCAAAATTGGGTTCGATGTAATTTCATAGAGGATTCGGCGTGCGGCCACAATAAGTCCATTTCCACCGGTCGTATTGAGGCCAGTAATGACCGGCTTCCTTCGTATATGCCACGTATTGTGCATATAAAATCGACCCAGAAAAGGTCGGACGCGGGAAGATTTCCATTGAAGGGGCATTTTTCTTTTTCTCTACTTTTTGTTACATGTATACGTGTTAAATTTTGTGGAAATAATATGTGATTTCACGACTCGTTTGTGGTTTACTTAAGTGTATATTGTAGAAGTTTACCGTCAAGATCTTTGAAGAGAATATATGAGACTAACTTTTGCCCGCGTCTCCGTCCGCGTGGAATCAAAACAAAACTAAAGCAAGTAGCCTATATAATAATCCAGACTATTGTCTATGTCTATGCCTAATTTTATCGAGATCCGTTCAACCGTTTAGACTACAAAATGTAAGAAACATCCATCCATCTAAATTTTCGCATTTATAATATTAGTAAGAATACTAATTTCGTTTTTCCAAGTATCTATACATATTGTTTATTATACTCCTGCTTTCATGTAACTTACACGTCATAAAATAACAAAACACTCACCGAGTTGGAAAACTTCGTGCACCATACGGAAATAAAAATACATCTACGAACAGAGTAAAAGTGAATGAAAGAAAAAAATATTGTTCCGTCTAAAGACATAGGTCGATATCGCAGCAGTCAAAAGAATGAGTTTATAAAACAAAAACAAAACGTCTCAAGTTACGTTCAACTTCATAAAACGAACTGGTTGAATAAAATGAGTGCCCACTCAAAATTGTAGCACAGAGTAAAAATTATAAAAAACCTAGGTAACTCCCGCAGTTCTTGCAAGTTCGTCCTCTGTAATTAAAATTAGCTAAATACGGCTTCAGTACGGCATCAGGTAAGGGCCGCGACACACTACGCTGTTACAGATGACTGGACCTTTATGTTTGAGTTGCAAGACCCGTGTTTTACTCAGTTCTTTTATAGCTTTTAAAACTGTATAACGACTGGTATAACTTTTAATATTTTAGTCAAATTTAGATGTAAATATAAGTATTCCGAGTAATAAAATGCAACACTGCAATTCTAAAACATGTTCTTTTTTTACTTATTGTTATTACAATTATTGTAACAATTAATTTCACATTGATTTAAAAAAAATTATACTCAAATAGTGTGTCGTAAAAGATAAATGTTAAAAGCAAATATTAAATTCCCTCGTTACAAAATAGTCGACAAATACCCTAATGCTCAAACTCTTTCTTTAGGTAGATTTAATTGAATTTTTTTGGCAATGTCAACCGTGAATTAGAGCAATTTAAGCGGGGGTGTACGCTTTGATTTTCATCCGTTTTCGCCCTTAGTTTATTTTTTTATTAAAAAGTCAGCGTTAAAAAGTAAAAGTGAACATTCGGCGCTTTCACGAGCCTCGTAAAAAGTGTACGTTTAAATACCCTTCGAAAATAGCAACAAAATAGTCTCTAGACTAAATCTCCGTGCACTCGGAAAATGGTGCTCTTTGCACTTAAAAAAATAAAACACCGAGTTCAGAGCCCCATTACCGATCGTTCAGTAGTGGCGTTGTTAACGTCGATGATATTTTGTACACGCAATAAGTGAGATTTAAGGACGGAACGACAGTCCTCTACAGTCTACAGTCACAGCGACATAAGTATATATAACTTTTGATGGGTTTTTTTGGTTTTATTTTAAAAGACTTGTCGTAGCAAAGCAAATTTTAGTTTAATTAAAAATGCAAACGATGAATAAAAAGCCACGTTTCTATACACCTTTATTTCTTCCGGTTGGTGTTTATCTGTTATAGTTAAAGATTTAAGGTTGACTTCAGCATAAGTGGGTAAGCGATATCTGTAAAATTGTACTAATACGATTGAGTTACAATCATAATTAAGAATGAAGATTTTACAATTGTTATAGTAAAGACAACAGACGGGATAATAAAATTAGACAATGAAAATCTTTGCCCCATCCCTCGGGGATCTCTCGCACCGATTATCCTCGCTTAAAAACCATCCCAACAAATGACATGGCGTATTTTCGCGCCAACTCATCCGTAGATACCCCTCCCCCCACTCGTAGAGACGCAACTAACAAACCGTGGTTAAATTGATAGATTAGCAACGAACTCGCAAATCATGGCGCGTTTGTGTTGACCGACGAGATTCGGATATCGCCTCACTTGAGATGTAACATCGTTATCTGTTTGGAAAATTATTTATTTTTAATACTCTAAAATTCGTTGCTTACATTGGAATTGAACTCTGGTCGTGTTTTAATATTAGATGTATGGCTATAAGCAAATTCATGAACTAACTAATTTCAAATATTTGTGACAACGTTTTTAACTTTTTCAACTTTGAAAACTTGAAAATATCCAGCACCTAATACTCTAACACGAGCAGTGTATTTTTGTATGGTACGTGGTTAAGGTAGGTTTTTTAAAGTTTTCGTGTAATTCGTAATAAACTGCAAGTAATTTACAGTATTGACAACACACATTATACGCGTCTGCGCTGTTCGGCGTCCTCGTGGCGTCTGTCATGTAGATGACGTCACGTGACCGGAAGCGGCCGTGGAAGGGGAGGGACTTCCGGCGGCGCACGCGATTGGTCACTTCCGTTTAGTAACAAACTGCTGGCATAATATGCTAATCGTGATGCAGCGATTTATTGGATTATGGTAGTAACTAAGCTGAGGGAGGTTTTTGTTTGCCGAATAAATTTTCTTTTCGGGGCAATTATGGGATATATCCGTTCGACTATTGTACTGTTTGAATGTTTTTACGAATAGCTTTTTTTTAATATTTTGATACAACTCGGTTACGGTTATTAATGGAACGAT